GGCGCTGTTTTGATATCTAATCGTTTAATAAATTCAATCACTCTGACATATCCAAGGTCTTTTAAAATTTCTTAATACATTCAAACTATATTTATGATAAGCTATTGATTAATTATTGACTATTGGTTATTGATTATTGGAAACCCTGATCTTCTACATATATATATATATTGTGTGTGTGTGTGTATATATATATATATGAATTTCCAGATCTGCAGCTGGAATAACTCCACTCGAGCACCGTTGACTTCACAGGAGCTACTGTGATTCAGACCAGCTGAGTAGCTGGCCACATCTTCTATTTCATTCAAAACATTGTGGGTTACGTAACTGACAAGCTGTGGCGTTTTCTTTGATAACAATCGGGCTCCTGCATGGGAATGAACTAGGACTTGAAGGCTGCAAAAGGCTTTTCTCCCCCTCGTCTCTCTGCTGCATGGATTTGGGCTGTGAGGACCGCAACATGTCACATCATGTCAACTGGTATCTCCATTCCTGCTCATTTCTCTGCCAAATCCACAAAAGATCATTTATTTATGGGAAGAAAGCTTTTTTGGACAGCTGGGAATGGATGTTTCACACCTGAGTGCTTAGATAGAAATCAGTAAACCACGGATCTTCCCCTTAGACACTCGGGGTCTGACTCTCCACTACCCTGCACTTTCTGAAGTCATTCACCCCTGCGAGTGTAACATACGACTGTCCTAATTTGGTGCTTCCACTCTGCCCTCGAGTAAACGACGACACAAGGTGCAGAGCAATGGAAAAAAATCAGGCCGTGTGTGAAGGTATTAGAGGGATGATCAGGATAGTCTCCTTGTATGGAGCTTAATCTTGGTGCTTTTTGTAGTGCTGCCTCCCATACTGTGAGACAATAGGCTGTAGCCTGTCCAACAACAACAGAGATTTTTAAAAAAATGGGTAAAAGAGAGTCCCTTGTCGGTACTAAGCGCAAAAATTTCAACAGTGATCTGTGATTCTGGGCGTCTCCGATTTTAGTGCCCAATTTGAGACATTTTGAGACTGATTTTCCTGATCATCCAATGAAGCAGAAGTCAGTTAGAGAGAGCGCTGAAAGTGCAAGACCACTGCTTATCCTACAGTATTGTCTTAGGTCTTGTCAACACTACGGGGGTAAATTGATCTAAGCTACGCAATTTGAGTTATGTTAGTAGCTTAGATCTACTCACTGCAGGGTCCACACTACGCGATGTTGACGGGAGACGCTCTCCCGTGGACTCCCCTTACTCTTCTCGTTCCGATGGAGTACTGGAGTCGACGGGAGAGCGCACTGCGGTTGATTTAGCGGGTCAGACCCACTAAATCAACCCCCGGTGCATTGATTGCCACAGCCTCAATCCTCCGGTAAGTGTAGACAAGCCTTTATTGTTTCCTTGTGCTCCACTGTCTGTCTAACCTACCTGTTGTCTCTTGTTATAAACTTATATTGTGAGCTCTTTGGAAGAGAGATCATTTTTGTTCTGTGTTTGTACAGCGCCTAGCACAGTGGGTCCTGGTCCATGCTGCTCCTTGTTCTCTGTCATGGACACAGTTACTTGTGTCTGTCCCATGTCTGAATGCAAGTGAGGTGCCTGTTTTGAAATTCTGGTCCATATTCCCCACAATCCCTGTTTCCACATCGTTACACGGACATCCAATCCCACATTGCAGACAGATGAACCATACCTCTTTAAGCACTAGCACACACTTGCCAGGCCCAACAGACTGAGGTAGCTCTGCTATTCTCCCTTTGTTTAAATATGGACCTGAGAAGCAGCGATGATTGATGAAGAGCTGGGGGCAGCAGTATCGCCCATTGACAGTACCTGCAAGAAGAAAGCGATGTTACCAAGACTGCAATTGTTTTCCTGCAGCAAACCTAAGAGTCTCTTCTTTCTGCTAGATGCTTGCAAAACTACCTGCAACTATCCTGGCGCTAGGATCGGGTCCCTGGTAAGCACAGCTCAGTGTCCAGAAAGATCTCATTTATGACACCATCAATAGTACTTATAGGGCCCACGATACCAGAGTATCTGAGTGTCTCATAATTGTTAACCCTCCCCTGAGGTGTTATTACAGATGGGAAACTGAGGCATAGAGAGGATAAGTGACTTTTCCAAGGTCAAACAGGAAGTCTCCGTCTGAGCAGGGAATTGAACTCAGGTCCCAAGAATCCCAAGGTAGCATGCTAACCACCGGGCATGCCTTCCTCTAAGCACATGTGCTTAGGCCTCCTTTCCAGCTACTATGAACAGTCCAAACAAATGGTTAATTTCCTGGTACAGGCTCCTGTGCCTGGACTGAAAGGCCTGGATGGTGCTGGCATGTAACCATGTGGGTGAACAACAACAGAGTGTTGGAGAGTTTAAGTTCCCCACAGCTTTGGCTGGGAGAGAGAGCCACTCAGCTCTGTGGGGAATGGGGCAGTCCTCGTCATGTTAATTTGAGTCAGAGCCCATTGCTTCTGTAAATCATATCCAGATTTCCATATAGCTTTCCTGGCCCTTTTACCATTCTTGATGTCTTCCCCTAGCCCTCTGTTGAGGAATGGGGCCTATTGTGATCTGACTATAACGCCAGGAGTGGAGACTTAGAGCTCTAATTGAGTCTCTGACACTACCTTCTTTTGTGGCCTACGGAATTTGCCTCAGTTTCCCCACCTGTAAAAGGGGAACAATAATATTTCGCTCCCTACTGTACCACTGTCACAGGGAAGGTGTGAGGGCTAGTTAGTTCATGATTTTAAGTATTATTACTTCTATTATCTCCTCAAGCACCAGTCACAGAAAGAAAAGCTGGTGAACGCCCTGTAATCTATACTTTCTAGAAACTAGGACAAAAGCAAATTTTAAAACGTGGCCTTCAAACAAAGGGGTAATCCCAATTTAGATTCCTGTGTAATGAACTGTCTAAATATTATGCCCTAAAATGTGCGACCTTCATTAAGAGGGACAACAGAAATCACTTTTGGTTGTAATAATGGTTGATGTGCTATACAGCTAGGCACGCAGAGAGATAATGAGGCAAATTTAGTTCTGGTGTAAACAAGTTCAACGCCACTGACGCCAATAGAAAATGGCTGTATCGATTTACACCAGGGCTTTATTTGGCCTGACATCAGGACACTGTCTGGAATGGAGCTCTTCAAGGATCAGACTCTCAACACTTTTGACACCCACCGGCAAACCCAGGTAACTTGAGACCGAGAGAGAGAGAGTGAAAGGGACAGACAGACCCACACAGGTGCACACAGAGCCTCAGCTGATGTAAATCAATAAAATTCTATTGACTTCAGTGGAGCTATGCTGACTTACACCAGCTGAGGATCTGGCCCTGGGCGTATGTGTACGTCTGTGTATAACACACACACTTCTACACCTCTGGCTTTTCCACAACACTTTTGCCAGATGAAGTCTGAAATGATAAAGGAGCTTTCTGGTCGCTGAGCAGACTCACCTGTTGTGTCTGGCTGAGGGACTGGGCAAAGGTCATGAGGTATTTTCTCAACAGGCACTGCGGATGGCAACCTGCTTAACGACAACACGATGCACTTAATACCCGGAACCTGGGTGATGGATCAGAACCTGAGCAACTCAGGGTTTTGCATCAGTCTCATGAAAGTGTGGTCATCATTTAGTACCCTGATATCTGCATGGAGATTATAATACTGACATTTTGCCTCATAGCCTCAAAAGGATTTAGGTGACTAGCTCCTATTGAAATCAATGGGAGTTAGATAGCTAAACACCTTTGAGCACCTGGGTCTTTAAACACAACACTATTCCAACTACAATGACTCTGTGATGTCTTATGGTCAGGGATCCGTGCATTTGGGTGCTTTCACTGAAATTCACCCTGGCTGCAAAATTGTGCTCCAGAAACTGAACTTTAATTTTAAAAAAAAAATTAAGTTTCTGGCTTAAGGATGCAAAGATAACGTTAAAAACATGAACCAAGTGTAAACTGATGCAGCATTGTCTGCCTGAGTCTGCAGGAAGCCAGAAACAGCTTGTAAAGGTATGAGCTACCCCATCGATCCCAGTCAGGGCGCAGTGGGCAGCTCGATTTTGTGGATTCTGGAATTTTTTCCCACCTGCTGGAATTCAGTCTTTCTGCCATGAATTCGCAGAGTCAAATTATAGTGCAGACCCAACTGAGATAACATTCTGAAACGTCCTGTTTAGACTAGTGACTATTTTATTTTTGAAAGGAACCCCTGCAAAAAGATTCAGCCGCAGGATTGACACTGTAGTTACGAATATGATGTACAGTAGAACCTCAGAGTTAAACACCGCAGTTACGAACTGACCCAGTCAACCACACACCTCGTTTGGAATCAAAAGTATGCAATCAGGCAGCAGCAGAGACAAAAAAAAAAAGCAAATAGAGTACAGTACTGTGTTAAACGTAAACTATTAAAAAACTAAAGGGAAAGCAGCATTTTTCTTCTGCATAGTAAAGTTTCAAAGCTGTATTAAGTCAATGTTCAGTTGTAAACTTTTGAAAGAACAACCAGAACGTTTTGCTCAGACTTACGAACATTTCGGTTACGAATCACCTCCATTCCCGAGGTGTTCGTAAGTCTGCGGTTCTACTGTAGCTGTTGTACACCATTCCCCATAGAGAATTGAATTCATCTACATAGTGAAACTGCTTTTAAAACAGAAACCTACTGCTTTTCTGGTTGCACCACTGCAATCTTCCTCTTCTTTCGTACTGCAAAATGAGAGAGGAAGAGAGAAATATATGGTCTGTTGTATAAATGGCTGGAATATAAAATCACATTTAACACAACGAAAGGCTCTTCCATGCTCAGCCCCGCTTTCTGTATTTTTTTTTTTTAAATGAGCCGCCATACCATTAAAAAACGAGTGTTTTAAAGAGGCTGTTGTACATTTAATCCTGGTACTGCAAAGCTGATATTGATTTTCTGGGATCTGTACTTAACAAATATTAAAATAAAAGTAACACAAATATTTTTCCGTGCAGAAACACACGTGCAAGATTGCATTTTGCAAGCATGACTACCCCAGCATTGTTGCGCCCCATCTCTAAATTGTGACAAGGCTGCTCAATGTTGCCATAGCAGTAGTCTTCCAAATTAGGTCTGGCTGCCTGATTTTTAACTCCGATATATTTAACTCTTCAAAAGGATTTGACACATTTAAAAAAAAAACATTTGCCTTTCAAATGATAATGAATATAAACAGACTGATGATAATTATTTCAGCTGGAAATGGGAGATTTGTGTCCATTACACCCCACGAGCGGCTTTGATGACACCCGTTCTTGGGATCTCAATCTGGGGTCATGACCAGGCCCCAGGGGAGGGCAGGATTGTGCCGACCTTCCCTTTCTGTATTGTTAACTGTTCTCAGCTCTTTCTCCCTCCTTCCCTTGGGATGCCTGTTTTCATCCTCCCTTTTTTCTCCTCCGCACCGAGGATTGCCGCATTCCCCCACTGATCAAATGTCTTCACCCTGTCATCAGGTGGAGTTGGGAAGGGTGAGCCTTCCGAAGAGCTTCCCGGCACCTCCTCCACTCGCAGGGCGGCGGTGGGAGTGCTTCTGCAAGAGGCGGTGAAAGCTAACACATCCTCCTGCTGTAGCTGCTCCTCGGCCCTGGCCTTGCACGACCCCCGCCTTCTCCCCATCCCCTTCCTCTCTTCAGGCCAACCACACACCACAAGGGAGGGGCACCGCTTGGAGTCTCTTTTGGGCTCCGCTTCTCGGGCTGGGTCTCCATTCACCAGAAGGGCTGCAGCGGCGGTATATACGGCTCTGGATGGAACCCACCTTGACTCTGGGGAAGCACAGACCCAGATCTCAGCTTTGTGCCTGGCATCTCTCTTTCGAAAGGGCTGGGCCCAAACCCCAGAACCAAACTTTTGGAAGGTTCCCAGCACATGGGTCCATCCTTGGGGTTTAGGTCCATCTCTTAATGGGACTAAGGAATTTGGGACCGGCTCCTGCACAAGAATCTCAATGGGGATTGTGCAAGCAGAAAGCTTGCAGGATCTGGGCCTTTGGACATAAACAGCATCTCTCCTCTCCAGTGTAAGGAAATAGAGAAGCTGGTCCTATAACATCCCCAGGACAATAAAGTTTTTTTAAGTACATGGATACTTTAGATCAGCAATACAGAGGGCTGGCTTAGGGCCTGAGCCTGCTCCCGTTTAAGAGCCAGATTTGGATACCCTTTACTCATGTCAACTAGTACCTTTCTTTGCTTTGATAACAATGGGACTATCCATGGAATAAAGCACTACCCAGTGTGAGTAAGGGTATCAGAAACTGGCCTAAAATCAGTTCTAATTTTAATGGATCTGGTGTAAACTGAGAGTAATTCTGCTGATGTCAATGGAATTACACCAGTGTCGAAGTGCAATCTTCGGGTAGGTGTGAATGGCCGCTCGTGTAGACACACCCACTGGACTCTAGCTAGGCTGCTGAAAACAGAAGTGAGGCAGTCCCGGTGTGGGCTGATCCCTTGGGTCCGTACTTGCTTGCGCAGCCAGAGCTGAAGCCCCTGGGCCGTAGCATCCTCACTTCTATTTTTAGTGAGCAAGCTAGAGCCCAGCTAGCACCGGATCCATCTACATGAACTGCCGTCCACACTCGCGGCTGCTATGTAGATGTACCGTTAGCGTTGGGAAATGGTGCTAGGCTGCCAGCTCTGGAGAGCGAAGCCCTCGGTTTTATTGACCATCTGGGTACAGCACGGACAGTGGCAGTACTGGCTTCCCCACACGTGTTCCTCAATCCTGATCTGGAGAGTAAAAGCTCTGGGGTGGCACGCCCCTAAGTGAGTTAGGAGCATACATTCCATTGAAAGTCAACAGGTCTTGTGGTCCTAACTCACTTAGGTGCTTTGGCCTTGCTGTATCCCATGATCAGTTCCCTGTGCCATCCAGTTCCTGTCCCCTTTGTTATCATAGAATCATAGAATATATCAGGGCTGGAAGGGACCTCAGGAGATCATCTAGTCCACCCCCCTGCTCAAAGCAGGACCAATCCCCAGACAGATTTTTGCCCCTAGATCCCTAAATGGCCCCCTCAAGGACTGAACTCACAACCCTGGGTTTAGCAGGCCAGTGCTCAAACCACTGAGCTATCCCTCACCCCGATGTCTCTCACTTCGGGTATGTCTACACTGCAATCATGGGGCATGACTGCCGCATATGTCGACGTACTTGGGCCAGCTCTGATCTACCTAACTTGGGTACAAGAGCAGTGAAGCCATGGCACCACGTGGTTCAACGCAGGCTATACAGACCTGACCAGAATCCTGAGTAATTACTCACACATGCAACTACAGCTTCACAGCTCCGGCACCTGAGTTAGCGACATCAAAGCTGGCTTGGGTATGTCTACACGAGCTGCAATTGTGGCCCGGGATTGCAATGCACCCTTAGAGCCTTTGTCACGTATTCCTAAGGGACTGTGTTCTCCTTAAGGTCTTGGTCGGCTGAGAAATTAATTTCAGAGTGATAAAACCCAGATACCACTGTTACGACCAGGTTAGACATAGGCCACATTCTGCAACCCTTAGTCACACAAGCAGCAAATAGTCCCATTCGTCAAGGGATTCCTTGGGTGAACAGGTTCTAACTACTCCATCCAAGGGTCGCAGAGTCTTACTGCCATTTAAGCAGGTTGGTAGGTAGGAGGAGCAGATTAGGTATATGTGGCTGCTGACTAAGAAACCTATGTGTATGGCGTCTATTTGCTTGTGGTTTCATGTACTTACAAACTGCTTTGTGGGGCGGCGTGAGGTTGTAAGCATTTGCTTCACACCAGCCAACTGGGAAAATGTCCATCGACTCTACATCAACTATATACTCCGGAGCAGGCATCTGTAAACCTAGAAACACAAATTTATAATGCAATTTACACACGGGACGCCTGAGCTCGGAGCGGTTCCGGCATTCGTCACAAACCAAGGCAAGGAAACGATGGCGCACGTACAAATAAATCGGCTTCCCTGCATCGAGATAAGGCAGCATTTTGTCTTCAATTTCCTACAGGTAGCAACGACAAGGTTGTTGCATTTAAAGCGCATTGTGATTCCACAGCAGAACGGCGGTAAGAGACCATTAAAGATGTACGGTCGAGCAACTGAAAGTCAGCAAAATGGCAAGGTTAAGGCTGTGTGAGCCCTTCCCCATCCTGACACCCCAGGGCGCGATGAAGTAAGCCCTTCGCCTACAGATTCATTGATTTTAAGGACACAAGGGCTCATTATGATCATCAAGAGACCCCATGAAATCCACTAGGGACTTCGCTATTGCTATCAGTTTTACGTGGAAAGTGCTCAGAGAGTACAGTAGAAGTGACTGGCGGGGTTATCAAATGCTCACGTAAATGACCAGTAGACATTGCTCTCCTGTATCCTTGCCTTTGCATCTGTTACAGCATCCTCGCCTCCTGCTTAATGCAGTGCTATTTGACAGTGCCCAGCCAGCCGACCGCAGGGAATTTTCCACTAATGAATGTTCATCAAGAGCCAGCCGCCAAACTGAAACAGTAATTGAACTTTGTGAGGGCAACACAGTCCTTCGGTGAGGAGGTGCCTGCAACAATGGACTCTTCAGCTGAGCCTGGGAGCAGAAGGTCTAGCGAATACACAGTTGCAAAGGCATAAAAATACGCCCGGGAGCTCATAACACTGGAAGAAAGGGCAAAGAAAATGATGCTGTGTGTCTCTATGGCCCTCATTAGAGTAATAGCTGAGCACCTTGAAATCATTAATGCATCGTATCCTCACCACTCTCTTTGCGGTACCATCCCCGTTTTACAGGTGGGGAACTGAGCCATATTGCAGATTGCAAGACTTGCCCACAAACACACAGGAGGTCTGTGGCTGAGCCAGGAATCGAATCCAAGTCTCTCGAATCCAAGACCATCCTTCCTCCCTTGTAGGAACCTCACTAAAAATGTTGCCAATGAGGAACGGCCTGTTTTAAAGCATGTAGAATTTTAACTCCTTATACTGCAAAACATCTCATCCCAATTACTATGTTCGACTTCAGCTAAAGACCTGGTCCAAAGCCCAGTGACGTCAACGGAAAGATTCCTATAGAAGTCCACGGGCCTTGGATGAGGCCCTAAATGCACAGCAAGATGCAGGAAATCAACTCAACTCCAGCACCAGTGTCATGACCAGGATGTGGGCAGTCAGACCTAGTGGTCAGAGCAGGAGTCAGGAACAGGAGATCAGAGTCTGAGACAGGCTTGTGGGCAGACTGAGAATCAGGCACCAGGAGGCAGGCAGGGTCAGGTGCCAGGTTATAGACAGCAATCAAATAGCAAAGTCAAGGACAAACCAGGATGGGACGTCAAAGTCTAGGGTCTATCACAAGCAGGGTCTGGAGCAGAGAGAAACAAGCAGTCTCTGCTGCTCAGATAGCTTCCCTTCATGGTGTCCTGATTTAAGTACTGGTACTGGCCAATCAGTGGGCTGCGAGGGGCCGCCACTCAAGTCCTGCTGGGCGGTACATCCTGCTGAGCCCAGCCTCACAGGGTCCACCCATGGGAACTGACATAAGCCTCCTGCGGTGGTGCAGAGGTGCCAGCAGGCCAGAACCTCCATGGGCCCACGTTCCAGCACTGCAGGTTCTAATACAGTGACCAAAATGGCCCAGGACATCCTTTGCTTTCATTATTTCAACTGCTCTATGCTACTGTTCCGATCCAATGTTCTTTTCTTTTTTCTGCTTACAATGACAGGTGCAACATTAAAATTTGATCCTAAAATTTTACAACTGCAGCCACTCCGAATGGCAAGGACGCACCAAAATGTTTATTTTCTCATCCTGCCACACTGACTCAACAAAGAGATATCCATCCAACCACGCTTACATGGTTCTGTTTTTTACGTGAACATTTGATAACCCCACCAGTCACTTCCCGCATCTTATTGCTGCACTTAGCTTGAGCCATATAACAAACTGGAAACAGCTGGTTTGCAATTTCTGTTTGCCTGATTTATGCATTTTACATCACTGTCTTCACGGCCCAAGAAATGGCCACATGAATCGAGACACTAGGAATAAAAGTAGAATGCGTGAAGAATGAAAAATTCCATCTCCCATTAAATATATTACATTATTGCAACTTCAGCAGCAATTCTTGAAAATATAAACCCAATTCGTCCCTGGAAAATTACTAGGGTTTTTACTTCACCAAATTCCTAGTGTAGCCTTACATATTATGCAGCGGGTATACATTATTACTTATATAAATGCAAACCAGAAAGCTTCAGCGTTAAAACCTAAAATGAACTACTAAAAATTTACAATGCAGATCCTGAGTAATAAAGTAGCAGAAAGCGATGGGATACACACACACACACACACAATCTCATATCAGCCCTATGCATCTTTCCCGCTTTGGGTGAGCTATACTGCCAGTCATTAAATGCTCCCCGTGAAGTTTACAGAGTTTTGCTACTGCCTGAAACATGATTTATTCAGCAATGGTCCCTTATGTCTAACTCGACATGGCTTAACTACTGCAGCCTGTTTTACAGACAGTTTGTGTTGTCAAACTGCATAACTGGAATGGCACAATCTGCCTGCTGCTTGGACCCCTTGCCCAGCGCTACAGACTCTGACCTGCCTAATGCCCGGTATCCTGACCTTGGCCTGACCCCCTCCAGGTTAGTTCGACTGGCTCCTGCCTGGTCACCTGAACACTGCTCTCCTGAACCAGGTCGCTAACCACTAGACCTGGCCGCCTATCTCCCAGCTCTGACAACTGCTACCAAAATCTCATCTGAATCCCTAATGTTTACAGATTTAGCTGAAGCGTGAAGTTTTATGTCCCTTCCAAAACTTCCTTTAGCATTAGCTATTCTAAGGACGTAGCATTCACTAGAACAGTAACTGTCATAGGGCCAGACTGTGATGCTATTGCTTACAATGAGTAGTACCATAAACTCCAATGGGACAATCCAGGGTGAAAGATGCTTTTTGAGGGGATAGCATAATCTTGCTCATAATTAGCGCCGGTCAGGAATTTGTTATGAACCTTTTTTTTTTTCAAAACCAAAACCCGATGAGTTATAGAAACCAAAACTGTTTGCAAAACAGCGTCAGGGTTGACAAAACGCCTGACTCAAAAACTTTTGGGTAAAAAAAAGCTTCAAGATAGTTGAACTGAAAAATTTCGGTTCTTTGAATTGAAGTGACTTTTTATTTCAAAACTTTAATAAATGTACACTAAAAAGATAAAAGGCGCCATGTTACTTTCGTTTTACACCTCTGGGAGGCTTACACTGTGTCACAGCTCAATGAGTTTCCTCACAAGGTACGTCTACACTAGAGCTGGAGATATAATTCCCATGTACCTGTACAAACTCTGATCAAGCCAGTGCGCTAGAAATAGAATGCAGCCATGTTGGCAGGAAGGGCTAGCCGCCCCGAGGACATACCCATCAGAGACGCTAGGCACGCTCTGAGGACATACCCATCGGAGACGCTAGGC